GTGTGTGTGTGTGTGTGTGTGTGTGTGTGTGTGTGTGTGTGTGTGTGTGTGCGTGTTATAAAAGAAGATCTGACAGGAGCTTAAAGGTGTTCATACCTTTTCTTTAATCAACAGTGATCACATATTTATCACGTTAATCACGTATTTGTCACGTTACAGCACAGGCCCGTACGGGCTAACAATTTTCTTATTGAGACATACTGTGTCTATATTCATGTTGCTATTTGCAAAACAAAGCTTTTGTAAAGGCACCTGTGGAAGTCATCAATCTCTGAAGGCAGTAAAGTCAAACAGTGAGATTTTATCAGCTGCAAGCCCAAGCAGTTCTTGTAAATGCCCACGGAGATCAGATGGAAACAGAAATCAGCCATTAAACCAGCTCAATGACAGATCAACTAGTCCTGTTGCTCATCGCTTTTGCAAGAGCTTTCACTGAATTTGTCATCGTCTGCTTTTTTTCTCACATTATCTTTGACTTCAGTAAGTATACGCTGGGCTTAATCTCTTCATTGTGCATCCAGTCTAAACCAATTTAAATTCACTCACAGCCTTGATAGCTGGTCTTATTTAAAAGTGGCATTTCATTGAAATGAGGAACGAAGAATAGGTTCGTGTTTCAGAGAGAACAAGTGTAAACACTGCTGTCAGAAAAGGAATGTAGGTCACTTCAACACATACTTAGACTCTTAATGTTTTTTTTTCTGTATCCGCTTTGTCCTGTTAGGGGTCACCGGGTGGTGAAGGGCTGATGCCAATTAGTGAGATGCATGAGCTCATCACAAGATCAACAGCGTGACAAACTTACTTCCAAAAGGATTTTATTTTTATTTTTTTATTTATTTTTGAAGTGATGTTCAGTGGAGTGTGCTGCACAGTGGAGCATTTGGTTTGCACTGTTGACTTGCAACGTGGAGGCTGCAAACTGAACTCCTGGCTGCAGCATTTTTGCATGAATCTTTCATATTCTTTCTGTGCATGCATGATTTTCCCTCCACAGTCCAAAAACATAAACATTAGCTCAATCAGTTGCTCTAAATTAGGTGTGAGTGTGTAAAAGTCTTGTTGTCACACTGTGGTGGACAGGCAACCGCTATTTCCACTGACAGCTGGAGATAAACACCATGCAGCTCCATTTGGTCCAGATTATGAACACGTAGGTAAAAACGATGGGGTTTCTGGGATTGTTATTAGTAATAAATACCATATTATTGTTTATTATTATTTGAAATATCAGGCAGAAGTTATTTTGGTTGGATGGGCTAATTAGTAAAAGAGGTGCCAGTTCCAAAGCTATCCTCTGCCTCTCTGATACTAAAGCAAATAAATAGTCTCCTTCTCATTTCCCAGCGCCAACCTCTCAGTTACTGGGGCCAGCTGCTCAGTTACTGGTGCCGGCCATTAATCAGAATAATAGCTGGCTTAGGAATAGATATAGCCTCCTGCTACAAGGAAATAGCAACCACCGGTTGCGCAATAGTCCTAGCTTTGGCTCTGATACCGCACCGTAATTTCTGCCATTTTAAAACTCTCAGATCTCATTTCCAAGCAGTGAAATGATTTGTGCACCTCAATCACTGAGATTTAGACAGTTGTTTATAGTTATTTTACTCTGAAGAGCAAGTTAATCTGAGATCTATTACAAGTAATGACCAACGGGGAAACATGCGTAATATAATGGAACTTGTTAGACAAAACCAAGCAGTCACGCACTGCAGTGCAAAAACAAAGAAACTATGACAGGTTAAGTGAAAGCTGTCTTTATGATTTTTATCTTTACAATCCCATCAAATCTCTGCTAAGTTACATGTTTTCTTTATGAACCATTCCTGTTAATAGACTGCAGACAAACTCGGTCTTCAGTGCCAACAGCCACAGACTTCCATGTTAGTAATGTAGTGGTGACTCAAATGTTTATAAAATAAAGTGTTTTTTTTTTCTTTTAGTTGGTTAAACATCAAAAATTTGCTTTTGAGTTACAGATTTTAGGTGAAAAATTGATTTAATATAACAACTTCACAAAACGTCCCTTCAGAAAATCAGAACTATTCTTACAAGGTCAGTTTAGTCACCATTAAATATATGTTTTTTGTTTTTCTGTGTGAAGAAATCCAAAGCACCCAGTGCTTCTTGCGGAGTCAACAGTGCTATTTAATGAACATGGGTACAGCCAATTTATTAAAAGTATTGTTTACCAAATATTTTTGCTTGTTTTACCTAAAGCCAAATAAATATTTTGTGTTTTTATCTTTGTAACTTATTTTTTAAAGTATTTATCTTCCTCTTTCGTCTACAGATCAGCTTTTATAAAAGTAAATGAACACTAAGCAGAACTTAATAAAGTTAATTTGTTGTATTTATTTACTTAAAATGTATAAATTGCAATGCAAGTTGTATACAAAGTACATGAAATGATAGACACTTGAAAATGTTTGTGGAAATCAAATCAGCGCTTCACCTTTTCTATGACACACGTAAAAAAAAGCAAATTATCACCTTAAATTTTACCAAAAGACAGTACTTAACAAAAAAATGAACACACATAATCTGTTAAAGAAATTGTAATGTTACATATACAATTTAATGCTTAGATTTTTTTTTTCATAATCAAACAGCTTATTCAATAGGTTTGGTCTTGCAATGCATTAAAACTATCACATGTTTTATAAAGTTGGTCTGTCAGCTTCAGGAACCCAACCCTCAGGAACAGAAAGCAGCTGCTTTGGACCAGCCTTTGACCTTTTATCGGATTGCTGAGCGAAAGCAAAAGCAGTGCTACATTATTTTTTTGGCCAGCACCCTCCACTGTCTTGCAGTAAGACGCCATAAACCCACCATAAAACCACGTTTTTGCTCAATAATAAGACTGCAGACAGCAGGAAGATGAAGGAAATCCCCGTCAACCTTCAGCCTTTGTGTGGTTGCTGTTTGGGGAAAAAAAGACATTTTTTAAACATTTTATACCTTCTGTTGTTATCAAACTTCACATCAGAAAGCAGTTTTACAGACCTTTCTGAGTTTCTTGAATCTAAAAGAAGACCTGGGTTTCAGAGCTCTTCTTCCATCAACTTTCCTCATCAGACCCTGGACCCACTCCTCATTTGGGTTTGCACAATACTTGCGTCCCTTCTTCATGATGAAGCTACGAAAATATAATGGGGTTAGTGGGTTCTCCTTTAAAGTGCATATTCTAATTTATGTATGTGAACTTACATTATAGCAGGGATGTTGCAGCCGCCATCAGGCTTCTGAACTCTGTACCCTACTGCATTTTTGTAAAAATGCTTTTCCACATTTCTCAAATATTTCAGGCAGCAGTCATCGTAGGACCCTGAAAGATCAGAAAACCAGTTCAGTTTAAAGCCACCACGTCTCGAACATGATATATTCTGCAACACAAGTGAAGTTAATGAAATCTAGTCAGCAAATTGTTTAGAATTAAGGAATATGAAAAAAACAAAGCAATAAGCGCGCTGAAGGTCACTACCACGATAGCACTCAGGCAATAAACCAAACTCATTGACTTTGATTATCTCTTTAGTGCAAGCTGAATGCATGCTTGGTTTTCATAAACCGTTTTGTTTCTGTCAAACATTACCTTGTCCCAGTGCAAAGCAGAGACAAGAGAGGACCGACAGGAAGAACAGCGTGTGGAGGCGCATGGCGACGTCGACGGCAGCAGCTCTGGAAAAAGACAGAAAAGTTTTACAAATCCTGTCAGCTCTAAATTCTATCACTGTGAAGATTACATCTCAGTTCCCCCCACACCTTATTAACAGGAAACTATGAACCTTTGATCCTTACACAATGTATTCAGGACACATTTTTCAAATTTAATTGATAAAAAAACAGCATTTCTAAATAAAAATATAAAAAAAGCACATGTGCATTTTAAATTTTCTGGACTTGTTTTTGTTGCTTGTGCAGAAAGGAATAAGAAAAGGCCCTCACTCATTCTGAAACCTTATTGTGGACTTAAAATTCATGTTAAAATCATGCATATCACAGAAATGGCACTTACTGTGTATTGTGCCTAAGCATAAACATGGCAATAAAAATTAAACTATTTTTTAAATTAAAGTAAAGCTAGCCCTATCCTTCTAACATTAAGTTACTCACCTGAGATTCTCTGAACAAAGGTGGGAGCTCTCAGTTCTTCTGTCTACTAACCTGTACAGGCACGGTTCTTATAAAGTGCTCAGCACTTGTCTGGCTTTAGGCCAACAGATTAAATTACCTTTAATGTAACCCACCTTTGTACTTAGCTTATCTTCTTGTCCTTTCTCTTTTAAAAAAAATGGCTTAAGCAATGTAGAGCTGTGCAATTTTTGCACTTCACTCATTGTTTATGATGCACATAAAAATAAAAGCTTGCATTTTACTGAAATGAGGATTTAGTTTTAGTATGTGTCCCAACCCTTTTTTGTTTTGTATTCTTGTACATGTTTCACAGAGTTGGGTCAGATGTTTTCAAATAAAAACGATAAATCAAAGCCTTTGAGATAACTAACCCTAAAGTTTTGTGCAATAACTATTGGAACATTTTTACAATCAGCACTCAGGAAGAAGGTCTTAGTAAAAGTATAACTCTATATTTAGACTTCCTGTATGGAGTCTGCATGATCTTCCTCATAAATGTATACATTTGTTTTAAAGTCAGAAAAAGGCTGTAAAACTCATTTTCACAGGGCACATGAGCAATATGGTGGTCCTCAAAGGACCAGTTGTAATTAACTTTGACGTTTCATGTTTAACTCATTGCTACGACTGAGCACCTCTAACAAACAATAACTGAGCTCTACGTGGTATTTCCTGCACAGAAACATTGTTTTAAGACGTCCTCTTATAAACACTGAAGTAACAGGAAAAAGGGCATCCAAAAAGAGTTTTTACACATCAAATGTCTTCATTTGCCGTCTACTTTTGAACCATTTGGACCTCTCCTTAGTGAAGTGATGCTGTTGTTTCCCAGGGAAAATAATCAACATGCATTATGGGACATGTCGTTTATGGTTTGTGCTAGCTTTAAAGCAGCATAAGCTTATTTTAAGACATTAATACATCTTTAAAGCACTTGCAGGCCACATAGAATGCTGTTTTGTGCCACATTTGGCCTAGGGATATGAATTTGATACATGTGTTCTGAAATCTTTAAACATTTTATCTGTTTTTCAGATAATTTTATGACTGTTCGTTGCTACAGGTTTATGTTTCGTGTGAACGGTTGCAAAGACAAGCTGGGTTAAACAGGAACTATTCTTTTACATTTACCATTTTTTAAATAAATATTGCTTAGAAAAGAAAGTACAAAACATGATTTTTTATTAAGCTTAACAAATGAATTATAGAAACTGCAAAACAAATTTCTAATTCAGTTAAATCAGGGTATTACTGAAGCACCAAATCAAAACAAAAACAGTCATCTGGCACTGCAGGGTTTTTTATATACGTATTGTCTCACATTTAATCTCAAAGGTGTTTCCTCCCTAAAACTTACAGCTCTTATCCACCGCTGATTCCTAAAGCTAAAAGCAAGTGAACAAAGAATAGGATCCCCTAAATCCCCCCTATTTTATTAGAATTTATCCTTAATTTGGAATTTCAAATGGGATTTCGTGTTGTTTACTCTTTATATTCACACATTAAATTGTCTGTTGCTGAGGTTTCCAGTTGCCAGGATTCAATATGAAAGTGTTATGGAAACAGATTAAGTATTCTTACTTAAAAGCTTCTCTTCTTGGATTTAAAATCAGTTTTTACTCTTGACACAGGTGAAAAAAACTGTCTGAAACATGTCACATACTTTACGCCGGCATGATATTTGGCTTGGGATTTCTGCAGAAATCCACCTGAAAGGCTCGAAAGACCAAATAACTCTTTGAGTGTTGCGGTGAGTTTCCAAGCTTTAACTTGCAACAAGTCCAACAAATATTTATTTCAAGTAAACACTGAAATGAGTTTTTTTTTATTTTTGTACAACTGACCTCACATACACCTTAGATACACTGCAGTTTAATGGCTGCTTTTGAAAGCTGAAAATTTACAATAAATGTTGTAAATGACATGCGGTACTACTTCAAACTAGAGAATGTATTAGTTGTTCATTCACTTTTACCAACCATCAGCTGGTACAGTTTTATCAGCCCATAATCAATACAGCTCAGGTGATTTGATAAGATGACTCAGCAGTTACGACCATTAAAGATGATTGGAAAGAGGAAATAAAAAGTTGATAAGTTGTAAAATAATAAGGTCCGATTATTAGAGAGTGCAACAGTCAAAAAGTGACCAGAGTTACGTTTATAATGTTCTGAGGTCCGATCATAGCAACAACATGGCTGCCACATAGACTCGTTGCTGCGATCTTGAAGTATAAAATAGCCTTTAATGTTTCTCAGTATTCATAGAAAAACCTAAATGTTATGCTGGGATTTGACTCAACATTGAACTCATGGCTTCAAGCACCATGCTGCACTTACAGTGGGGTGCGAAAGTTTGGGCAACCTTGTTAATTTTCCTGATTTACCTTTATAAATCATTGATTGTTTGGATAAAAAACAGTTAAATCTATCATAAAGGGGACAAACACAGTGATATTTGGGAAGTGAAATGAAGTTGATATGATTTACAGAAAGTGTGCAATAACTGGTTAAACAAAATTAGGCAGGAGCATAAATTTGGGCAACATAAAAAAACCTTAACTCAATATTTAGTAGATCCTACTTTCACAGAAATAACAGCCTCTAAACACTTCCTATAACTTCTAATGAGAGTCTGGATTGTGGCTGAAGGTATTTTAGACCATTCTTCTTTACAAAACATCTCTAGTTCATTCAGATTTGATGGTTTCTGAGCATGGACAGCTCTCTTTAAGTGAAACCACAGATGTTCAATAATATTCAGGTCTGGGGACTGAAATGGCCATTCCAGAACGTTGTACTTGTTCCTCTGCATGAAGGCCTCAGTAGATTTTGAGCAGAGTTTAGGGTCGTTGTCTTGTTGGAAGATGCAGCCCCGGCTTCAGCAGCTTCAGCTTTGTCACTGATTCCTGGACATTGGTCTCTAGAATCTGCTGATATTGATTGAAATCCATGCATCCCTCAACTTTAATAAGATTCCCAGTCCCTGTACTGGCCACACAGCCCCACAGCATGATGGAACCACCACATGTTACTGTAGGTAGCAGTTGTTTTTTTGGAGTGCTGTGTTCTTTTTCCTCCATAACGGCCCTTGTTCTGCCCAAATAACTCTATTTTAGTTTCATCAGTCCACAGCACCTTATTCCAAAATGAAGCTGGCTTGTCCAAATGTGCTTTAGCATACTTCAAGCTGTTCTGTTTGGGATGTGGGCGGAGAAAAGGCTTCCTCTGCATCACCCTCACATACAGCATCTCCTTGTGTAAAGTGTGCTGAATGGTTGAGCGATGCACAGTGACTCCATCAGCAGCAAGATGATGTTGTAGGTCTTTGGTGCTGGTCTGTGGGTTGACTCTGACTATTCTCAACATCCTTCACTTCTGTTTATTCCAGATTGTTCTTGGTCTGCCACTTCAAGCTTTGACTTGAACTGTGCCTGAGGTCCTCCATTTTCTCACAATGTTTCTCACAGTGGAGACTGAAAGCTGAAATCTCTGAGATAGCTTTCTGTATCCTTCCTCTAAACCATGACGGTGAACAATCTTTGTTTTCAGCTCATTTGGAAGTTGTTTTTAGACTCCCGCTGCGACTCTTCAGAGAAGATGCAAAGAGGAGAAAAACTTACAAGTGCCTCCCTTAAACACCCTTTCTCATAATTTGAGTCATCTGTGTATGGAGGTCAAGGGTCACTGAACTAATAAAACCAAATTTGAATTCCAATAATTAGTTCTAAAGGTTTTAAAATCAATAAAATGACAACAGTGCCCAAATTTATGCACCTGCCTAATTTTGCTTAACTAAATATTGCACACTTTCTGTAAATCATAAAACTTCATTTCACTTCTCAAATATCACTGTGTTTGTCCCCTATATGATATATTTTACAGATTTGTTTTATCCAAACAATCAATGATTTATAAAGGTAAATCAGGAAAATTAACAAGTCTGCCAAAACTTTCGCACCCCACTGTATCAGCGCCACTAGAATCCCCGAGTGAAGCAGATGAAAGGTTTCAAACGTGTTTCTGTTTTGTTCAGGACTGTGTGACGGGTGTTAATGCGCTCTCAAAACCAGAGTGGACATCTGATATGACTGCTCACTGTTTATGTCTCTTGCTTGTTTGAACATCGTCTGCTAAAATCCCGTGAAGCAACTCGTTCTTTTGCCTGCAGGATACAAAAAGCAGGACCAAAAAGCACAAGAGAAACATTTATTTTTCTCCAGATACCACCCAGGCTTTAAAGCTCTTCAAATATATTTGTTCTTTGTTCGTGATTTATTCCTAAATGCCTTCAGTCTTGTGCAATTTCTGTTTTGCTGCTATCTGTGACTACTGATCACAGTCAGTGAGCTAAATCTTCACTGGCAAGACAGCCTACTCCTTCAGAAAAAAAAAAACAATTGACATTGATGATCTTTATTCTCAGCTTACATATTTAAAAAAAAACCTTGATGGATTAATGGATCTGACTGTGCGAAGAAATGATGGTCCACTGCCAAAAGGGACTTGGACTCTATCCCTGTAATGATTCTCTCTGTTGTCTTCAGCATTCCTTGCAGACAATATGATATGTTGTTTTATCCCTTCATCTCTGCTGTCATTTAACATGCATTTGAAAGAAGACATCCATTTATCAGAAGGTGAGAGTCTTTACTTTGGCACTGTATAAAAAGGCTTCAGCACACTGAGGACAAGGTGGACTGATCAACGGTGCAGATTGAACACTTACTTCTGTTGCAGCCATCCGGACAGAAACGGCAATCTACCCGAAACAGATCAACGAGCAAGCGTTGAGATAAAATAGATCTTTGTTTTGACTGAATGTCATGTAATTTTTTTATGTTGAATTTGAAACATTTGACAATGATGCATTCTTTTCTTGATGATTGTGCAAACACAAAAGTCATAGTGTTTTACTTTTTCTTTTAAATGAAAAATCCAAGTAAAAATCATTTTGAGAACGGAAATACTGTTTGTCCCTTGGAAAACCCTTTTTTTCTGCATACGTCTTGTCATAAGGATTTATAAATGATTCGTTTCAGACATGTACATAAAAAATGG